AGCTGTAGGCTTGCCTTAACCTGTGCTGGCTGATGCCACAGGCAGTACCATGGGAGGCCTGCTGTGGCCTGTGCCCAAGTATGCAGGAAACTCCCTGTGCCCTGAGCCTCACCTGTAGGATAGACACACCTTGGGCTTATGACCCCCAGTGGGGAAGTGGCTGCTTCAGGACTTGGGGAGGGATGGGAGTAGCTTACTCTTGGAACTGGAAGTCAGGAGGATTAAGGCTAGGCCCCCTCAACCCTCAGAGAGCACAGCTGAGGGGAATTCTCCTAGGGCAGGATGACAGAAGGGAGGGCCACAGAGAGGTGGGGAGAATCCACATTCCATCCAGGAGCTCTGGGATAAGTCCCTCTTCCATGAATCTTCCAAAAAGGTAGGCAAGTCTCAATATTCACACCCACAACCTCCACCCCATACCCTATACAGAAAAACGAAGGCTTAGTCAAGAAAGGGACTTCCCTGGTTTTAAGAGAGCCACAAGGTTTGGAAAGGAAGTGCCCCTGTCTCTCTCCTCCCTCCAGGCTTAGGCAACTTTCTTCACAGGGAAAGGCTTGGAGCAAAGCAAGAACCACAGAGAAGGCTATGAAGTCGGAACCACAGAAAAGAGGACTCTTGTGTCTGCGGCTGGGTGGGGGAAGGGGAAAGGGCCAAGCGCCAGGCAGGCCAAGGGGAGGAGAAGGTTGTTCTGGAGCTGGTGCAGTACTGTGCAGGCCTGGTGGGAGGGACCCAGTTGCCTGAGGTCCCTGGGCAGCCCCAGCTCTTTCTCCAGATTGGCCTGGAAAGGGAGGAACTATGTTGGGTCACAAAACTCAGTTGGCTGGCTTTGTCTTGAAGAATGAGAGGTGCAAAGTATTTCCCTAGTGGACAGTCAAGGGAACCTCTCCCACCTCCTGCCTGGGAGTCCTGGAGAGTGTGAGGGCATCTCTGGCTCTACAACAGGCCCTGGATCTTAGCCTCTGGGCCTGCTCCTCCCTCCCTCTGATTCCCACCCTTTCATGGCCCAGAAGTAGATGGTGGTTCTGGCACTGGGACCGCCCATGACCCACTTAAAACAGAGCCAGGACTGCCACCCCTCCCCTAGGGGGCCTAGTGGGACTCTGGAGAAGAAAGCTAGGGCAACAAGTTGGCAGTGGGCAGCCTCCAGATGCCCATGCTTCTTTTGTTAGGAGCTCCCCCTTTCAAGCCTCAGATGAAGACTCCAGGCCTGGCAAGAGGATGACTCATTCAGGACAGTCAGGCTTAGCCCCCAGCCCCAGGGCAGATTTTCAGTGTCCCTGGTCTCTGAGCACTCCACGGTGGGTCCTCCACCCCCATTGCAAGGGTCACACTTTTCAGTTCAGCCCCAGATCCCTTCAGGGACAGAGAGAGCATGTTCTTTCTGCACAGGTTTCCTCCTCGGATGGGACCAGGACTGGGACCAGGCCGGAGGAAGCCAAATCCATATTCCATCCCCCTTCCCGGCCCCTCCCGACCGCACCCAGGCCCTCGCCGGGCTGAGTGGGTTGCGATGGCCCAAAATAAGAAGCTGATTAAATCCGTCTCCCACCTTCACCTCAAAATAAAAGAGAGAAAGAGGAAAAACCTCCTCAGACAACTCCCACGCAGCTTCCTCCTGGGCCCGGTGGGCCACCGTGAGGAAAAGGGTGGGGGCCGGGGTGGGTCGTGTCAGTGGAGACGTGTGAGGGCGCCCTGGGCCAAGCCCTCGCCCCACTCCCGGTGCGACGCCCCCAGTCCCCGGCAATTAACACAGAAATACAATTAACAACAAAAAGGGCCTGGAGAGGCCGCCGGGGGTGGCAGGGAGGCGGCCGGGTGGAGCCCCTAGCTCACAAGGAGAGCTTTGTGTGTACGCAAGCGCGGCCAGCGCCGCGAGCCTCGACGCCAGGGCTGCGGGCCGGGACACAGACTAGTCCTCGCGGGGAGGCGGGGGGCTGCGGGCCCGGGCCGCCCAACAGTCCACACGCGCCCCCCCCTGGCCGCAGACGCGTCCGCGGAGCGCCCGGGCCGCCGGGCCTGCGAAGCGCCTCGCGGAGGGCGCGCTGGCCCGGCTCTCGGCGAGCGGGGCGGGACAGCGCTGGAGAGCTGGAAAGTTGAAGACAACAGACTCTCGCACATGACAAGGAACCGGGACAGCGAGGGGTTTGAGCGGAGTCCAAATGTTTATCAAGCTCCCGACTGGTTCCAGAGCTGAGCGCAGAGCCCAGGGGACTTGGGGAGGGGAGAAGTCGGCCCCAGCTGTAAAGTTCTTCCAAGGAAAAGGAAGGAATGGGAAAGAAAGTCGGCGCAAGGGGGGGGGGCGTGAGGGGAGAAGGGGGGAGTTGGTCGGAAGCAAGCAAAAGTTGGATCGACTTGGAAGTTTGGAGATGAGGAGGGAAAAGAAAGGGAAGGGGATCCTGCAGGCCGGACCAGCCGAGATCTCGAGATCCCTCCTCTCCGAATTGGGGCTGTCCCCTTGGAGACCCCCGGGCTCGCCTCCCTGGCGGGCGCGACTCCGGGAAGAGCCGGAGGACTCACTTACTTCGGGGCTGAAGCTGCTGCTTTGGGCCGAACCGAGGGAGGCGAGCGCGGTGCCGAGCGTGAGCAGGGGGAGCAGGAGCCTGCGGGAGGGTCGTGGGGCGGGAGACATGGTCCGCGACCGTCGGGGCAGCCGGCCGTGAGGGCTCCGCGGCGGGGCCCACGCCCTGGGGTCGCGCCGCTACTCCCTCGGGACGCCTTTGTCTTCGGTAGGCACTGACTTTGGATTTCTAGACCGCTGTCGGCTTGGAGTTGAGGGGATTGTTCTTGAAAGTGCCCGTTTGCTCTTCTCTTTTCCGTTTTTTGATCTTCTGCTTAGTCGGAACTGGGTCGGGATTCCTCTCTCGCTCTTTCTAGTCCCTCCCTTATTAAGCAGCCTCTCCTCCTCCCCCGCCTCAATGCCCTCCTTTCCTGGTGGGGACGTGGTTGTTTCAGCCTGAATCCAATTACAGCCAAGAGCTGGAGGAAAAAAAAAAAAAAAAACACACACACACACAAAACCCTAAAGTTGTCTTTCTGTGGTGCAGGCTGCCATCTGCAGGGGTGAGGCCTCAGCTGACGGCAAAGGGCTGAAGTGGGACCCTGAGGACGGATGTGGGAGACTTTCTTCCTCTAAGCATATTTTGGGTGGCTTGATTCCTCCCGTATTCAGCATTTGTCTCACCTCAAAATGGGAAGCACTGGGAGGCTCGTGACTAGGGCCAACAAGGAGTTCAGGGTCTGGGGTGGTGTCTTCTTTCTTGTCAATGAGATTTGGGTTGAAAGGGCCAGTTTACCAACAGTTGTGGGGGTTGTCTGCTGGAACCTGTGGACAACCTCTGTCCCTCCCTCCCCTACCACAAAACCCAGCTACCCAAGAGCAAACCCCACACCATACTGGATCTGGGGATCTGCCCTTGTAGAAAGACAAATGTACTCCCTTTATTATTGTCATTTGAAATCTGGTTGCTCCTTAAATTACAACAGGCTGGGGAAAAAAGGGGTGCAAGGCTATGGAATCTGGGGAGAAGCAAAGAGGAAAGAATTGGGAGTTACGACATTGGGGTTTAGTTCCACCTCTATACTGGAAAAGGAGACAATTCCTTAAACAGTAAAATCTCTTCCTTGGGGATTGACTGGATTCTGAGAACAAAAGGTAGAGAGGAGGAATCTGGGGAGAAGCAAAGAGGAAAGAATTGGGAGTTACGACATTGGGGTTTAGTTCCACTTCTATACTGGAAAAGGAGACAATTCCTTAAACAGTAAAATCTCTTCCTTGGGGATTGACTGGATTCTGAGAACAAAAGGTAGAGAGGTATGCAGGGAAGGGGGAGGACAGGCTAAAGCTGATGGTGAAAAAGGGAGACAGATAAGAGGTTGAGAACTAGATCTTGAAAAAGCAGCAAAACAGAAGCAGGAAAAGTGTGGGAGACAGAAAACTCAACCATAAGCGAAATCTAAGATCCAAGAATTACATTTGGTCAGTGAGAGAGGAAGGAGGTAGTGGGGGGAGGAAGGGAAAGAAAGCAAAGGAAAGAATAAAGGAAGGTGGACAGAAATTAGGTCAGGTAAGAAGCTCCAGAAATCCTAGGGATCCAGTAACTATCACACGTTTATGGCAGAAGAATGAAGTCCAGTGCTCTGTATTGGAATAGGAACTAAGGTCCTTTGCCACCAAAGGAGACATGATCAGTAAAATGAAGATTCCCAAGTCCCAGGCAGCTTCCAGGTTTGTGGAAGGTAAATGGTGGGTACTGGATACTTATCCCACAGCCACTGTTTGGGGGCTGAGCCCTTGTAGAGGACTCCCCTACATAAACTGGAGTAGGGAGGTACAGGCCCCTCTTTGACCAACCTTTGGAATTCAGTCAGAACTACGGAAAGAAGCTGGCTGGTTAGCTCAGTTGGTTACAGCGCAGCCTTATAACACCAAGGTCACAGGTTTGGATCCCTGGTACCAGCCAGCCACCCAAAAACAAAAAACCAAAACTATGGAAACCTCAGAACCCAATTCTTTTAGCAGAACATACAACACCCAAGTCTGGTTCTTCCCAGTGGGGGAATCCTTCTGAACCATGTATCTGAACCTTAGGAATACTGACACTAATTGCTTGTCAAGAAATGGACCTCTGCTGGGAAGCCTTTTTCATCAAAACACTTATTAAATGCCAAGTGCACATGGCTTGAGCTGTGTATGGGCTGTTAAAGGCTTGAGTGCCTGGTTAAAGCCAGGAGAACTGCTATCCCCTTTTCATGTTTGTAGAGCAGCTATGGCTTATAGTTGGGCCAGATCTATGGCCTACAAAAGAGGGTGTAAAGATCCCAGAGCAAGATTCGGCTGAATTGGAATGGAGCCAGGGGTGAGGGCACTGAGCTAATCCTCCTGGGCAGTGATCTTACACCCTGTTCTTCCTGGTGTCCAAGCTCTTGGGGAACATGAAGGCTCTCTTCTTGCTGGGATGAGGCATCTAGGTGACAGAAAAGAAAGACAGAGAGAGGGTGGGCAAAGGAGGCAGGAGTCACTTTTTATTGACTTGGAAGTGAGCTCTGCAGTGAAGCTCCTTTGGGTTTAAGAGCGTTCTGCTTCCTTTCTTCTTCCTGCAACTTCTGCTGCCTGAGCTGCCATGCTTGTAATCCAGCGTCCATTTCCTGTGACAGCAGTACAACTCGTCTCTGAAACAGACAGGAAAACAGTGTGGATAACATCTGGTGCTTGAGCGCTACACCGTATATCCTTTAACTCACAAAGTCAGGTTTCAACTGGAAAATGACACTGATGACTGAGGAAGGAATGGAATGGAACCAAGGGTCAGGAAGCAGAAGGGAGGCAGTAAAATATGAAGCATAATGTCTACTACTGGTTCCTGTCCTAGGAGTGTCCCATTCAATTCCTCTCTTCTCACAGTGCTCCTGAAAGTTTAGGCTGTTAAAACCTCAGTATGAGGGCTACATGTTAGCTTAGGTGTAACACTGCTCAAGACAAATCATGATTTAAAATTTCTCCTTCTGATTACACACAGGTAGTCCTGGCTGGGGCTCTAGCCACTCACTGCAAACTTCTCTCTTTGGGCTTTTCTTTGAAGTTGGCCTTTCATTGGGGGAGCAGGGCGGCCATCTATAGATAGAAATGAGAGAAAAGGCAAGTGTTAGAGATGGTCTGCAGCACCTTGTTCAAACATTGTAAAAGGAATGAGGGAAGAATCAATCTCTAGGTCCTCTCTTTCATTTCACACCCACTGTAGCTTAATTCTCCTAAAATATGTCCTTCACCTTCAAGGGTGAGGTATGATAGACCCACCAAGAATAAGCTCATAGGCATGTTCCTATTCTATTTCACTTAATCCTCATTAGCCTGTAATTCAGGGTTCTCTTCAATGCTGAACCTGTTTTATCTTCAGAAACCCTTCACTCAAGCAATGTGATCACTGTTCTACTCACTGTGAGTCTTTGCTAAATTCCATCCCACTCCACAACGAAACGCCCTTTTCCTTTCCTTCCAGCCAAATCTTCATCCTTAGGCCGACTCAAGCCCTAACTTTTCCAGAAACCCTTCTCTAAATTCTTCAAATCTACCACTAATTCCTTCTGAAAGAAATACATATCATTTAATATACAACTATTTACCTTAGGGCATTTATTGTACTATTGTTTTTAGTGTTATTTAGCCATCTTGGATCCTTCTGGAAAGGGGCTCAGTATTTAAGTTTTATTACTTAATTTCTAAGATGTCCATGCTTTGTTTTCCCAGACAGACTTTAAGTTCCTTGGAATCAGGGGCTGTATTGCTAGCTTTCACTTTTCATAGTATAGTAGAAACACATAAGAATGTAACAAAAATTCCATAAATATCTGCTGATTTGCCAAAAAGATGCAGTATCTGATCTCAAGTACTTTATAATGGAGAGATGAAGAGAAAGGACATCTACTTTCTGCAAAGAAAGAGAAACAGAGTAAAAACTCTGCCCGAAAGTTTTTTTTTTTTTGTCTTTTTCGTGACCGGTAAGGGGATCACAACCCTTGGTGTGGGGTCGCCTGCACCGCGCTCAGCTAGTGAGCGCACCGGCCAGTCCTATATAGGTCCAAACCTGCTGCGGGAGCGTCGCCGCACTCCCAGCGCTGCACTCTCCCGAGTGCGCCACAGGGCCGGCCCTGCCCGAAAGTTTGAAGGAAAGACAGATAAGAGAGGTATTATTTAACAAGAAAGGGAACCAATACTGTTTATGCCAGGTATTTTGTTTCATTTTATCCTTATAAAAGCCATATAAGATAGGTATTCTTTTCAGATGTGGAAGCCGAGAATCAGATAAAATTAAGTAACTTGTCCGAGATTACAAAATTAGCAAGTAGGGAAGCCCAGATTAAGAATCGGGTACAAGGCTGGCTGGTTAGCTCAGTCGGTTAGAGCACAGCCTTGTAACATCAAGGTCAAGGGTTTGGATCCTTGTACTGGCCAACTGCCCCAAAAAAAAAAAAAAAAAAAAAAAGAAGTACATATAATTCCACAGTCTTTCCAATATTCCATACTAATACAAGGAGATCCTAGGCTTCTACCATAAGTAACAAGTGGAAAAAATCTCCACCATTCTTCTCAGTCACCAAGTACCTGATTAAGCAGAATCATACTCCTAAAAAATCCAATAGGGTACTGGATTTTCCTAATACTCATGTCTCTCTATTCTAAAGGAGGTCTCACTCCTACCCAGTTCTATTCCTGGCTTTCCTACTACCTAGCTGTGGTCACAGGCAATTCACTCCTGTAGGCCTCAATTTTCCTATTTGTAAACTGGAGTCCCATAGGGAGAGTGGGGAGTGGCTTCGACTTCTCTAAGGTACCTCCCTTCTAGGACTAATGTCTATTTTTCACTTTTTTTTTTTGGAGGGGGGATGGGAGGATGGCTGGGTGGTATGGGGATCCAAACCCTTGACCTTGGTTTTATTAACACTGCGCTCTAAGCAACTGAGCTATCTGGCCAGACCCTCTGTCTCTCTTTTAAATAAAGGGAAAGGACCTTTCGAGGAAGCCTACCATTCTGTCTTCACCCTTCAACCCCTCTAAGGCAGTAATTTCTGCAGCCTTTCAAAGAGCTCTCTCTGAATGTGCCAAATTATGAAAATGTACCCAACACCCAGAAGGGTGGTTCCTCCTAACTTTTTAAAAATCATGTCACCTCTGAGAAAGGTACAAGTCTTGTCATCCCCTCCCATTCTGGGGTATCCCAAGTCAGACGCTTATTATTATTATTATTATTATTTTCTGCTTATCTCCACAAGCCAAGACCCTGTCTAGCTTTACTTTCCGTGGTCGAGGGCTTCTTCCCCAAACTGTTTTCCAAATAAAAAGTTCTAAACGTTTTCCATCCAGACACGCCCCCCCCATCTCCCACCCCCGATCCAGGGGTGTTTCCCTGGATGAAAATCTCCGAAGTAAAGTTAACTGTCAGATAAGCGCTCACCCGCGTAGGACCAGTCTGGGAGCTCCGTAAGGGGCCCGTAGCCGTTGGGGTTGGCAGCCAGGCCCTGCCTGGGTGGAGAAAAACAGTCCGGTGAGGACCTGGCTCAGCTTCTGGCCCCTCAACTCCCCCCACTCTAGCACTCACTGGAGTCGCCACTGGCTGCCCGCCCAAGCCGCCGCGCTGCAGTGCAGCCTTCGGACCCCTACTGGGAAAACAGAACAGAGTTTCGGGAGAGGCTGCGAAGCCGGCTCGGGGGTCCCGGTCCCTCCCACGACAGGGTCCCGTGTCCACTGACCGTGTACCCACTCACTCGAGAGCACAGCTCCTAAAGCAGCCATGCTGCGAGGAGGAGCCGGAAGTGGGCGTGGCCTTGGTGGCTGCGTGCGACGCTACGGGGGAAGCCGGAAGCCCCCATCTTGAATCTGGTCTTCGATCACGGGCCCCGCCATCTTGGGTCTTTGTACGGAAGTGAGGGACCCAACCGCGACCTGGGTTTTTCTGGCTGTAACAAACTGTCGTTCTGCGCATGTATCCTCAGTGGTGGTTGCGTTCTCAGTGGAAGTCGAATCTTCGAAGACTGAACCGTCCTGAATTGTTCCCACGACGTACCCGAAGCGGCCCGTAGTCCTTTGAAATTTATGGTAACTTTTATCTCAGAGGAGTAACATCCACGTTACTTTATTCCCAGCCTCCCGCATCACTGTGACATATTTTCCCCAGACTAGAAGTAGTCAAATTTAGAGTGCGTCAGAAAATTTCGGTTTCAGATTTCACTCATTTATACAAACAAGTTGAAGAAATTCTATGTGAGAAGCCCTGTATTAAGCGCAGGAGATTCTACGGAGAGCAAAACCAGCAAAACCATCATCACTATCCTGATAGCTCAGTCTAGGGGAGAGAGAAGACATTAATCAAATAATTTTACACACATTACCGTAATATTACAGGTGAGTGTTGGGAAGGGAAGTACGTGTTGTTAGTGAGCATGTAATGAGAACTTGAACTAGAGTGGAGAGGGCCCTTAAAGATGACTTTCTGGAGGAAGGGATATTGGAGCTAAAATCTTTTTTTTTTCTTTTCTTTTTTTTTTAAAAGATGACCGGTAAGGGGATCTTAACCCTTGACTTGGTGTTGTCAGCACCACACTCAGCCAGTGAGTGAACCGGCCATCCCTATATGGGATCCGAACCCGTGGCCTTGGTGTTATCAGCACCGCACTCTCCCGAGTGAGCCACGGGCCGGCCCATAAAATCTTTTTCTTTTCTTTGGCGTCCGGCCGGTTAGAGGATCCAAACCTGTGACCTTTTTGTTACCAGCACCATGCTCTCCCAAGTGAGCTGACCGGCCAGCCCCTGTAATTCCATTTTTATAAGCCCTACTACCACACATTGCCTAATATCCTTGCAACAACCCTGTGTGGTAGGTACGAAGAAGTGACAAACCCAGATCTGTGACTCCTTCCCTCCTTTTTATTACTTGCTATTCAGTACTTCCTTGGGGAAGTAATTTATCCTTAATTTCTTAATTTAAAAAAAATGCTTAGTATATCACATTTGTGAAAACATTTTAAGAGTGGTAATGTGAGTGAAAGTGTTTATAAATGGTGAAACTCTTACAAAAATGCCCATTACTGTGTGCTAGGCTAGACACTTAAATACATACTGATTGGGGAACCTGTGGGAGTGGTGTAATGGCCTATCTGGAAGTTTATCATTTCCTTCTGCAAGACTGGGAAGTTTTTCCACAGGAGGTAGCTCTGAGTTGCGCTTTGAAAGAGGGGAAGGGTGGATCCTGGTTTAAGAAATAAAAGCAGCTATTTTGATAACAATAAAAATGGTATAGGCTAAAGCTAAACAAGAAAAGGGGATGGGAACAAGAAAAACTTGGCTAAAAGCCAACAGATGGAACCCCCCCCAAAAAAAAATAAGTGAGAGAAATAAGACAGAGTATCACTACCATCTTTTATTCATACACTTCATTTTTACTTATCAAAACACTGTCACATAAATGATTTCATATGATTTTCATAATAAACCTGTAAAATAAGTTAATCCAAGAAGCAATCATTGTACAAATTGCTTGCAGTTTTCAGGGGTCAGGAAATTGAACCGGAATGTGACTAAGGATTTATTGTTTACAGTTAGTGGCAGAGCATGGTGCTGATAACACCAAGGTCCAGGGTCTGATCATGGTACTGGCCAGCTGTGGGAAAAAAAAAAATCAAGGAATACAGTTAGTGGCAGAGTAAAGACTGAGTGACACTTTTCCCAAGCTTGGCTCCCTGAGCCTTTGTTTGGTCTTGAGGTAGACAGCACTGGAATCCCATAATTTACAGTTGGGAAATCAAGTAGTAGAAGCCAACGGCTTGAAGAATAACCTTTGTCAACATTCAGGATTGACATGAAAGATGACAGGCTAGTACTACCACCTATGCTATATAAAGGAATTGAACCAGCAACACTCCTCTTAGTAGCTAACAGAAAGAGGGGACACCGTTGATTGGGAAAGTCACAGAAAAGGGCACAGGCATTAAAGTGAACAATAATGTGGACGATATGAAAGCTGCGTGCAAAAGTGGACACGTGATCATTTAATAGCTGTGGGAGTCACGAGGTCGGAGCTGGAGAACTTCAGGGGCAGGATGGGAAGTTTGATTGAAACTAGGAAATCTGGGAGGGGAAGGGTCTTTGGAAGGAAGACAAGTTCAGCCTTTGACGTGGTTAGTAGGATGTGGCAATCCATGGGTTGTAAAGAGCAGGAAATATGGGTTAAGGTTTTGAGAAAAAGAAAGAACACGGAACGCTGACAGCTAACATCAGCATTCTCAGGGACCTCATGGAATACTGTTGTGGGGGAGGGTCTGGCAACTGGACAGCACTCCTTGATAGATGACTTCATCACCCTCATAAGCCACAGGAAAGTGGCTTTGTCATCCCAAACTGGATGTCTTTTAACCTCTGGACTTCATCTGGCAAAGACTGGAGTTAAAAGCAATTTGAAGTATCAGGAGTCTGAGCTTCATGTCTCCTCTCTTAAGCTCCTTTGCCTTTGAAGGGCATCATGTCCTGTATTTGGCTTTAACTTTTTGTTATCCACTTATGTTTTTGTCTAATGTTTATTCAAATATCCTTTTCTGTATTTATACAGTCACTTTTGTACAAGTGCATTGCTCTGGGAAATTAGGTGCCATTTAACGGTTCTGATGAATAATGATGATGTCGGAAAAGGAACATAAGTGAAACTGACTCTGGGTAGCCAGTTCCATTGTTTAGCAACCTCTTCCCCTTTTGCATGTGTATGACAAAAGATTGAAGTAGCTGCGGGTTAGAGCATGGTGTTATAACGCCCAGTCAAGGGTTTGGATCCCTGCACAGACCAGCTGCCAAAAAAAAAAAAGTTTTGGAGAGAAGCGTGAACTGTTTGGTAGTTTTTTCATTATCTTCTTTAAGACATCTCAAAGATCAAATCACTGTCACCCCACACAAATATGGGAACTGAAGGCTATAAACCACTCATCCACACTACACTATTTTGCATATTATTTCTTTATTATTTACACAATATATTGTAACATATTCTTCTTCTTTTCTCAGAGCTGTCAAATACCTGCTAAATCAGTACTGGCTAAATTCTGTGTTAAATGACCCAGTTTCAAGATGGGCAAATTATGACCTCTTACTACACTCTTACTTCTTGCTTGGAGACTGTGAAGTCCCTGAAGTTGTGTGCCTTTCCACCAGACTGGTCTTGAAGGTAGATGGTTCTCTGTGGATCTCTGCAGAGTGGCAATATTGGCTTTAAAAAATGCCAAAGCCGGATTGTCCAAAAAGTATGCAAAAGTTAACTATTATTTACAAGCCATCTTTTAGCCTTAAAACGTGGTGAAACATCTCCAAGGAAAGATCTCTTTCCTTGAACAAGCCCCTCGACTCCCTCTTTTGTTAGTTGTACACTGCTGCTAAGATTGTCAGATTTAAGATGCTCTGGGAACCCCAGCCTCCCGGGAATCCCTGCTCCGGACATTTTTGGTTAAGTGCTGCCTCCTGGCGGCGGCTCTATAGCCCGACGCCTTCCCGGCCTGGTGGCGACCACTTTCATTTAACTTGGTATCTTGAGGCTGATGCAACAGCTCCCCCGAGGGGGCGGCGAGTCAGGAACCCAGAGTGGAAGAGGCCTTCCGGGAGACCCCTTCCCCGGCTCCGAGCAGGGGCCGCGCCTCCCCCCCGCGCCACCTCCATGGGACTTCCCAGTTCTGGGTCCCTTCCGAATTTCAGCCGAGCGTCTCGGGGCTGGAAGCAGGGGTTGCCAGGGTTTGGGGCTCTCGCCTAGACCCCCGTCGGGCTGCCACCTCGAGGTGGATTCGGAGGGAGGGAAGAGGAAGCTGAGCGTTCCTGGGGCGGAGGACGCGTCTCTAAGGGTATCCGCGGTCATTTTCCTTTCCCCCGGGAGGAGCGATGAGCGGGCAGGGGAGCAGGTTGCAGGGCCTCTCTGTTTTCGGACATTTGCTCCCTTCGCCTACGCCCACCACAATCTCCTCTTCTAGCACTTCCTAGAATTGGGGGAAGGGTGGGGACTGCTTGGCCAGGTGGAGGGAAAGGAAAGGACGCCTGGTGGGGGTACTGGTCCTCCAAGGCAAAGCCCGGGTCGGCCCCCGCAGCCGGACCCGGACATCAGGGGCAACCCAACTCTTCAGAGGGGCATTGAGGGTGGACAGTGGCTGGGTCGGGGCTTGGGAAGGCGACATCTAAGGCCGCAGACACTGAACCGTGGGCCCAAGAGAAAGAAAGGGAAACGGCTGGGGGGGGGGGGGGGGGGGGTAAAGTGTGGG